TTTTTTTTTTTTTTTTTTTTTTTTTTTTTTTTTTTTTTAAGAATAAGATCATAGAAATAATTCTTTCTGTTATTACTCTTGCTAAATCTCTTCTGTTAAAGTAATTTGATCGAAATTTATTCTTCTAGATCAATGTAAAATTCCTTCTGTAATAACTAAATAAATTAAATCTTAAATCTTTTTTTTTGTATAAAAGTGCATACTTGACAAGTGAAAAAATAATTGCAAACGAAGCTATAATAATACAGGATTGAAAATCTGGGTTGAAAAATAAGTAAATTTTCAATATAAAATAATTGCAAACAAAAGTGTAATAACACAATTGTTGTGTTTTGATCTTGGAATTAATTTTGATTTTAGCGAATGTTGAAGATTTTGAATGAATAATAATTCCGGTTAACAGGTTAAACAATTTCTTCTCTTCTATTCCAAATAAGCATACCCACGAGCATACGATATGGTATAATTTGTTCACACAAAGACACTCGCACAAACAGTCAACGATGGGGAGGGCGCATCTTATCTAACATTTGCAGGATTTTTTTCCTGTGATGAGCGACATTTTTAGCTGCCTTAATAAAAATTCTACACCATTCTCGTCGCGTGAAACGACGAAGGTGTAATCTCGTATTTTTTTTGTGTTTCAACGTGCAAGCGGCTATTCCGATTGGAATTAAGAAACTATGATGATCAATTTTTATTTCTTCTTTGTGTGTTGGAATTACTTCTCATTTTATTACTTGGTGTTTTTTTTTATTTTTTTTTCTTTTTCTTTTTATTTTTTATGCTTGTGTAATATTGCTTGTTTACTCTTTGACAGTGTGTGGTAAATAAGAATATTTGAAATAGGTAATTTGGAAAATACAAATATTTTTTTCAAAATTTTTGAAAATACCAACAAATCCATCTTTCCTTTGAATTGAAATTTTGTGAATTATTTGACAGTGTAATTAATGGATTTCATCATTGGATTCAAATTCGTTCGCTAACATCATTGGCAAGTAACAGATCTCTGATGATTTCGAATAAATACACGACTCGATTACACTAAAAGCATCATTCCAACATGCTTCAAAAGAATCTTCCCTTCGCAATTATATAAACTTGTTAATAAAATCTCTTCTTTTACTTCTGTCTTCACACAACATTCTCTATTATTATTTCTTTAATTCACATACTCACATTCACAAACTATAAATAGAATATTCAAATTAACTTGAAAATAACATGTAACACGTGATATATGTATATATGTGATTCCTCATAAATTTTTGTATCGGTACACAATCAAATAAATAATATAACGATATGATAAATTATCATTTTGATCAGCGTGCAACAAACACAGATATGTATATAAATGTTCATAAAGAGGATATTATCAAGATGTGAAAGAAATTTACAGAATTGGTATATGGCGAATATAGTTCACCATGGATGAAGTAAGCCATGTCCAGGCTCGTTTCCGGTTCACCCCCTTCACCAACGTCCACGCTAAGACCTTGAAATTTACAAGGTCATACGTGGAGAACGGTGGAGGGGGTCTGGCCGCTATGCTTGATCCACCTCGTGACAGACCTCCATATAGTCTGGGTTGTGCATTATATCCTTGATCATGTCCTTTAGGATTGGATAACGAGGAAAGATTGGATACACTTTTGAGCTATTGTACTCCTCCTGTAGCAGATGATATATTAATGTTATCAAGGTGATAAATTGGATCTTGATTAGTAGAGTTGCATAGAGTGATAATTAGGAGAGAAAGATGAATAAAATTGTGTTTGATCTTCTTTGGTTGAAGAAAGATTGGTAATTTTACTTTTAATTTAAGATAGTTTTATCTAGTTATAAGTGAGAGGTATCATTTCTTTTTGTGATGATTCTTATTGGGCCTAGATTTTAGATTTATAAAAAGCAAAGATTTCTTTATTTTATTTAAAAATTAAAAAGATTCATAGAATTCTTTTTATTGAAAAATAAAAAAAATATTAAGTTAAAGTATTTTAACTAAAAAAAAAAAAAAAAAAGATAAAAGTTATGATTATAAATATATTCTTTCATATAATATAACTAGTTTGGTAAAAGTATAAATATAAATTTCATTAAGTTTTAATCATCAAATATTCCTTATATACATGTAACTTGTTAATTTTCAAATAATATCATTCTATATTTCTTTCCAAACTATGTAACTTGATAATAAATCTTCTCATAAGCTTCTGTTTCTTTTCAATTCAAATAATACAATATGTATAATAAAAAATATATGGGTAAATATATATATATAAAATAAGGTGGTTTAATAACTGGATACTGATTAATTCAATTGAACAATACAGGTGAGACAAGTTACAAATAAGAAATTCTTTCTTGACATTTTACAAAATATAATAAGCTACTGTTAATAATTCTTCAGAGATGTTTCAAATATATTCTTGAAGATTATTTATTCATTACTTCACATTCAGCTTCGATGAATGTGCAAAAAGAAGAGTTAGTTGTACTTGGTTCACTTGTATATACCTTTAAATCTCGGATGAGATTTCTGAGTCCTGTATATTTTTTCAATAATCTATAAAGGTCGTTAGTCATTTGCGTGTTCTCTGCTTCGATTTGGGCTGTTGTCATACCTGTGCATATTGAAACAAGTCGATATAGAGATAAATCAATAATGAATAAGCATAAGTTGCATTCGGTTAAAATGAATTTTAGATTAAAATTATGAATAATAAACCTAGCATTACTTTTATAAAATATAAAGCTAGTATTACTTTTACTAAATATATTATGGCTTTTCTATGAGGATAAATTTGAAGTACGTACAATAATGTTGAATGACAATACCGTCAGAATACCATAACCGATCTCTTCTTGTCCCTATCGAGCACGTATGATAGTAGGTAATATATTATTCATGCTTGGAAACTTTCCAAGCGACAGCCATCGAGTTGTGTCTTTTCCTTACAATTTGTCCAACAATTTGAAAGATTGCTCGCGTTCACGATTAAACGTTTTATTTTCTTTTCCATAAAATAATAAATTAAACAATAAATTTGATCTTTTGTTTCATTTAAATTTAAAAAATTATAGACCTAAAATTTTAAGCATCTATATCTGTCTTGTCTACAAATTTCTCTTAATATATATATATATATGGAGTGTTATTATATTCATGGAACTTTGAAAGTTCATTCTTCAATCCAAAAATAAACATAAAAGTTGGTGTAGAAAAAGTTTTGAAAGTTATTCGTAGTTGAATTCCAGACTTATTAAGCAATTTAAGTTGGATGAAGTGAGAGTGAAATAGAATCAGATGCTCATAATCGTGACAGAGATATCTATCTAACGTAAACTTTAATATATCCTTATAACTCGAAGTAAATAAACTCTCCATTACAATTCGACTACATTTTTGTATTTGTGTACTTTTCTTATCTCTATAATTGACCTTCTAAAGGTAAGTACTCTGATTATATATTTTTAAAAAAATTTTCAACTCACTCTCGAGTCTTTCAATGCGTTCTCTCTTGGTTTCAGCTTCTTCGGCCAGTCGGGCCGAAGTCTTCACACCTTCCCCGCTTTTGTGGGTCTTCTCCATAATGGAACAGGCGCGCAGGACAAAGGCAGGCACGGTCTCCTGTTTCTCCTGCTTCGGTATATCCACCAGAGTCCAATATTGGGTCTCCAACTTGATCACATCCTGAAAAAAGAAGAGGACCACACACATCCATATACAAATATTTATTAAAAATCTGTTAAAATTAGGCTAAAGTTAATTTTCAGATTCAAACATTGAATTAGATTATGAGAATACAGGCTTAATATATGAAAAAGAAATTTTAATGGATTTTAGAATTTTAGATCAGCTTAGATAGAGTTTAAATTTCTCTCAAATTTTGAATATATAAGGGTTGAAATAGTTAAGTTGAAATATGTTGCAATCAGTTTTTGTTCAATACGAATATTTCTTGAAAAGAAAGAATTATGGTTACCTTAATCATTAGTTTTAAGAGGTTGTAACGTTGAAACACGTTGCGTACTTGCTTGCTGTCGGTATATTTGCACATAAGTTCAACGAGGGCACGTTTCGCAATCTCGTAACTTCCATCGAGGCGTATCCTCACGATTCTTAGTCTCTCGTTCGTTTCAATCACCTCTTCCTTAGTTTGTCCACCTGTTTCAAGAGTTTCAAGAGTATGCTTAAAATTTTTGTATAAAAAATTCTACAAGATACATTCCTATCGTGCACGACAAATCAAAATTGACTGATTGCAGATTTTTTATTCTCAAGATTTTTATTCAGAAATTATAATTATACATATTTTTATAACCATTAATTAATTCTGTCTCCAGATAATAATTTTCATCAAAATTTGTAAATTGTAATTGATTTGTTACATTCGTCAGAATATTTAACTTTCCATTTCTGTTACAATATGATATTTAAATTATTTTAAACGGTATACATTAATAGTAAAAATATTAAGTAAAATTAATTAATATGAAAAATTGTATACATACAAATAATTCTAGATAGTATGTATATCACATGAAACAACCATGATCAATTTTAAAGTACATAAAAAAAAAAACCCGTTAAATTGCATTAATTTTGGTATTAAAAAAATAAAAAAAAGATGAACTGAAAATAATATTATCATTAAAATTATTACCATCATTATCGAATTATTTATAATTTAAGAAAAAAATAAAGAGTCGATAATAATTATATATTAATATACATATTAATATATAATTAATATACATAATATATTAANTATACATTAATAGTAAAAATATTAAGTAAAATTAATTAATATGAAAAATTGTATACATACAAATAATTCTAGATAGTATGTATATCACATGAAACAACCATGATCAATTTTAAAGTACATAAAAAAAAAAACCCGTTAAATTGCATTAATTTTGGTATTAAAAAAATAAAAAAAAGATGTACTGAAAATAATATTATCATTA